ATCAATTCAAAATTTTCTCACTTAACCCCCCTCAAATAGGGTGTGTCTTATAAACCCCCACCCCCAAAAAAATTATTTTACTTTAAGAAAACACTTCAAGTTTGAGCTTGTTGTAGATTACCCCCCTCAAGTTTAAAAACTGAAGAAACCCCCATGAACTCTTCTCACTTTATACCCTGAAAGCTAACACCATTAGGTCTACCATATCACTTAATAAGTATATGACTAAGAAAAGATCAAAATACCATCTCAATATTTAAAAAAATTACTATGTTTTTTTTAAGGATAAGAGAAAGAGAGGAGAAAGAGGGATAATCATTATAAATTGATCAATATCTTTTATTAACCTGTTGAGGGTTTCTTTATTACTAGATGGGTTGATTTTTAAAAGGATATTTGAGTTATTTTACATTTTGAAATGATGTTAGGGACCTTTTGGTGAGAAAAGTGTGAACGAATAGGAGGTTTTGTGAGACACCCCATAAATTAAGGGGGATTTTCTCTAATTTTCAAAGTTGAATGATTATCGGTATTATGCCCAAACTTTTGGGGGGTCTTTTTTCTGTGTTTGTGTGGGGGTGGGGGGGGGGGAAAACTTATTAACTAATATCCTAGCAATATGATGTATAATGAGATATATGCAAGGATAAACAATATAACACAATAGACGGTATAAACATACACAAGATATAACAATGATAATAGTGCGCCAAGATAATCGCAAACACAAACGAAATGATCACGGAGTTCGGTCAACCCTCGACCTACGTCTCCACTCCTCACCTCAAGGAGATTCTCCACTAATCACAACACAAATAACTACACAATCTCGATTTTCAAAGCTCACCGAAAACTTTTACAATCACACGTTGTCAATCCCACAATACACTCCTTTAAGTGTTGGTCTATCCGTGTCACCTTCCTCAAGTGCTTGGAATTACTACCTCTCCCTAGGCTTTTACAACCAAGTCACTCCTCTTAGAATTGACCCCGGTCTCTCCCAACCACTCCTCTAAGTGTCCTTGTGTGCAAGTAAAGATTTGTTTACTAACAAAGACGAGAACAAAATGAATCACTCTCACAACCCAAATATGCAATATGTGAAATACTAAAGCTCAAATGGTTGTGTATGAAAATAATGAGTAATAACGAAATTTAAACGCAATTAATTCTAGAAAATGTATATATGGGAATCAAAATGAAAACAAGCTAGATAAATGAGTTTAGAAAACTTCTCCGATGAAAACAAAGAGAGATTGAAGATTTGAGGTTAAATTCTTCAAGGATAAAATTGAAATCCTTCTCTTAGTGAAACTTTCTTCATACAAACAAAACACACTTTTGATCTTTAAAAACGTGAAACAAACTGCCCAAAACTATCTTAAAACCCCTTAAGAGAAACCAAGGCTGGAAGGCTATTTATAGCCTCAAAAACAAAGCAAAACAGAAAACTAGTCGTTACTCAGAGAAGTAACCATGAGTCGACTGGTCAAGTTCATCAGTTGACTGATGAACTAGCTGTTGGCTAAGTTCTGGAAAATCAGCACACTATCGGTCGACCGATGAACAAAATCAGTCGACTATTAATATATAATCGGTCGACTGATTCAACGAATCGGGCGACTGATAAGCCTAAAAAATCATGCTAAAATTTCACACTAGTCGGACAACTAGTTAAGGCTAATCAGTTAATAGCCTATAACTCTACTGTGAACGGACAAGCTGAAGCTTTTAATAAAACCAACATCAAAATTCTCACCAAAGTAGTCTTTGCACACAAACGAGACTGGAATGATAAAATAGATCAAAGTTTATGAGCATATCGCACAACGGTTTGTACGTTTACAGGTGCTACTCAATATTCCTTGGTATATGGTTGTGAAGCTGTCTTACCACTTAAAGTCCAAATTTCGTCTCTTAGGATAGCACTTGCAACTAGCATGACAACGGAAGAAAATCCCCGCCGACATCTCGAAGAGCTTGAGCTATTAGATGAAAAGCAATTACAAGCTCAACAACATATTAAATTTTATCAAGCTCAGATCTCCAGAGCATTTGATAAGAAAATCAAACACCGCATATTAAAAGAAGGTGACCTAGTTCTCACTGTCTGACGTCCTATGATTTTGAAGTCCAAAAGAAATGGAAGTTCGAACCAAAATAAGAAGGACCATTTGTAATAAAAACTGTCAACTCAAATAAAGCATATCGCCTCATCACTCAAGAGGGTGACAAACTCATGATACCTATAAATGATAAATTTCTAAAGAAATATTACCCATAAGCTCCTAGTCAAATTTGTGTCATCAACAAAAAGAGATTGTCTCTTTCAATTCTCAAGAGGTGAACTAAGGTAACAATTGTATTTCTAGCTTTCCTCCAAATTCCCCACCAATCATCTCTAATAGGATGGCAGGTCCACAATAAAATTATCATGTTAATGATTACCTCTGATAGTCGATTTTTCTCAAAATTCTCCACCAATCCTCTCCAATAGGATGGCGGGTCCACAACAAAACTATCATGTTAAGGATTACCTATGATATTTAATTTTCCTCCAAAATCTCCCATCAATCCTCTTCAATAGGATGACGGATCCATAGTAAACTATCACATCAATGATTACCTTTGACAGTCGACTCTTAACCCCTTTTGAAAATACTTTGTCAGATAGTGGCCTACCATGCAATGTGCCACTATTCTAATCACTGTCGTCATACTTATATGTCACTGAATGATAAAATTTTTCTAACATCGTCCTTCCTATAAATAACATTCCTTTTCTAATTGTGGCCTATCAAGCAATGTGATACTATTCCAATCACTGTCGTCATACTTACATGTTACTGAATGATATGATTTTTCCAACATCGTCATTCCCATAAATGACGTTCATTTTCCAATAGTGGCCTACCAAGCAATGTGTCACTATTCCAATCACTATCGTTGTACTTATATGTCACTGAACGATATAATTTTTCCAACATCGTTATTCCCATAGATGACGTTCTTTTTTCAATAGTGGCCTACCAAGTGATGTGCTACTATTCCAATCACTGTCGTCATACTTATATGTCACTGAATGACATGATTTTTCCAACATCGTCATTCCCATAAATAACGTTCGTTTTCCAATAGTGGCCTACCAAGCGATGTGCCACTATTCTAATCACTGCCGTCATACTTATATGTCCATGAACGACATAGCCATTTCAATTTCATCATTTTTTATTT